TATAATATATCGTCATTTCCATTCTCACACTCCACATCTATTCACCAACCTTGCTTGCACACACACACACACATATACACACACAAACACAAACACACATACACACACAACACGCAGTTGAAGCACGCAGCTGCCAACGTCCTACGAGAAACTTGGTTCATTTACAAATACACCATCCTCGCCGATAAGTTGGACGCCAGAAAAATACGGAGACACCAGGCCAAGTTCCTCACTGCCATACACACGTCTGCTTCTCATTCTCCGTTTCATTTAGTTACTTTGTTTTCTATTAAATAGTAAATTTTTCAAAGTTTTGAAAAAAAAATTCTTTCTCAAGGAACTTAAATGAATTATTTAATCAAGAAATAAATTCCGTGCATGCATCAAAAGCGTAGCATAAAAGGATTTCACACGTTGGCAATAAATAAACAATGGCAATCACGCTGCTTCAAAAACACACGTACATCCACACACACACGCGCACACACACACACGCGCACACATACACTCCACACGTGTACCACACACACACACACACACACACACACACACACACACACACACACACACGTACATACACAGCTCATAAACATGCAATAACATGTACATATTGACTGCAGTTTGCGAGACATCCGATCGAAATTACGAACTCTGAACGATAATGCCAACACCATGATGGATGTATCCAGGGTCAGTATGCTTATTATCATTGTACTCATCGCTCTACTCATCACTCTACTAATCACTCTACTCATCACTCAACTAATCACTCTACTCATCACTCTACTAATCACTGTATTCACCATCATTATTGAACCTATCTCTGTACTTTACATTGTACTTACTGTTTAAATCAAACTAAGTTATCAATATCACTTTATAACTTTATCATGTTAGATTTTTTTTTCTCATTTACTCTAATAAGATACTTTAACGCATATTTGAAATATTTTTACGTGGTTCCATTTAATTTGGGCTACTATTTATGAATAACTCTTCTTATTAGGAATTGAAATATAGTAACGAATTTAATACATAATAAGGTTGACGTCATTATCATACATACGGCTGTTATTTTTGCTCATATCATGGGCATATGATATTACATAATGACAGCTGGTGGGTAGTGGAGATTAATGCTTGATCATTATGCAAAAAATATGTATAAGCAATCATTGTCTAGAATTTCTAGACTCATCGTCATCATCCTTATTATCTTCATCACCATGATTGCTATTACTAAGAATGATAATAAATAAATTCAAATTCAAAAATAAATTAAATTAAAAAAAAAGATAATGATCTAAGTAAACTGTTAGACAGACAGCCAGACAGACAGTCAGACAGACAGAAAAATACAGACAAATACATAAACACATACATACACATATACTTATTTACCAATATAATTACCATTATTATTTATGTTTTTATAATCATCATTACCATAATATCGCTATCATCATCACCATTATTGCTGCACTCATTCATCATCATCTAGTTTTTAAAAAAAATCGTCTTGAGAATGTTCTCAGTGTATTGATCTTTTATGTATGTCATCATCAACTTCATAATATGATATTATCATCGGCAGCTTTATGATATTATCATCTGTTGACAGCAACTTTTATTAAACTTCAATTAGGTTGTCATCATCATTAGTTACGTCATCCCAATCATCTTCACCATCATCATCACCATCATCATTACCATCATCATCATCATCATCATCATCATCATCATCATCATCATCATCATCATCATTATCATCATCGTCACCATCATCATCATCATCATCATCATCACCACCATCAACTTCCACAGCACCTCACACATTCGGCCCTCAACACGACTCCAACGGTGTACAGCTCACAGCCCCCCGCCATTTATCAGCAGGTTATTTTTATTATTATTAATTATTATCATTTTTATTTTTATTATTTATTTTTATGGATTTGTTATTATTATACACTATTTAAAACGCGGGTTCGCTGACGGTAAATTAAAATTAATTAACGATTGAAAATTTTACAAAATCGGGTGATCAAAATTAACAAAAGTGGCAAAATAAATTAAGGTAATAATTAAAGTATATTATGCTTAAGTCAGGGTATTAGAGGTATTTTTTTGCGATACTGCAGATGCAAGTGCAACTCTCACAAGCCATATCAGACTTGTACTCCCGACAACTATCGACTGAACAGAAAACTACCAGCATCGAGGACAACTTAAACTGGCTACAAGTCTGGCATCTGGATAATGAATTGTTTTTGTTTGAGAATGAATTGAGAATGAATTGTTTTTGTATGAATGATTTCGATTTGAAAGTTTTACCGAGTCTGTCAACTAATTTGTTTCATTGCTATGCTAGAGGTATTAATTTTTCATTTGGGCTTTCGGCTAGAGGTATTAATTTTTCATTTGGGTTGTTTGATTTGATTAAATTTTTTGACAGTTAATTTTTAACAAGATTTTTTTACTTTCTTAGCAGATTTTGACGTTTTTAATTTAGGCACTTTTAAAATTTTACGCGTCGATTAAATTTTTAACACTCGGGTTTCGTACACTCTTTCAGAACCAACTTGAAAGTCTGCCTGAGCAAGTCTTGTTCCACATGTCAGCACCATGCGACAGTCCATCGCCATTGTTAGGAAACCTCGCTGACGTCAGCATGACGTCACACCTTCGTCATCTTCATCATCAGAACGTCAATGATGTTACGACAACTTTGACTGAACCGTTCGAAGCGCAATTATAAAAATGGTCTTTCTTATTTTTTTCTTCCGCTCATTCATTCCATTTGGATTGAAATACATATATACCCATTTATATTGTTATATGTTTCTATATATATATTTATTTATTTATATTTACTTTAATTAATGAGACTAAACCAATTTTAAAGTGAGTTAATATTTTTCTAAAAAATCCGTACAACGGTCAGTTAAAAGTTATATATTTTAAAACGCTTATTCATTTATAGATTTAGAGGAAGGCTTACGACAAAGAATTATTTTTATAAAATCACCATAGTAGTGAATATTGACGATGACAAATTATTTTTTACCCCACCATAAATGTAGTAAATTATGGATTAACTGTCACTCGAGTCCTATGTAGGTAGCGAAATTAATTTTTTCAACTTTTAAATGTAAAACTGCAAATCAACTTATTGAATTTTTGTTATTTTTATTAATTTCTAAAAAGGAGTTTTTTTCATTTAAATTTTTACTAATCATAAATGCTCTCTTATTCATTTTGCACATTTTTCCAGAAAAAATTCAAAAACTTTCAAAAATTTTTTTTCAAGATGTTGTTGTTAGTATTAACTATTAAAAAAGAAATTTAAAACAAACAATTTTAAACAAAAAACATAAACTAATATAAGCATTAAATATTCAACTGATTAACTCAAAATTTACCATCCACAAACCTCCTAATACAACTGCGGGCCGAAAATGTCAACAAATACTACAAGCCATTCATTAATTTGCAAAAAGTTTGTACTGGATTAGCCAACTTGACAGAAACACCTAAAAAATGTTGCCAGTTAGGCAATAGGCTGGAGTGACGAGTAACCAATGATTGCAATGTTGAGAAATATCTTCCAGCATTCACCTCACTTATTTATAAATGGTAATCAAGCAAACATTGTTAGACTCATTACAATTTCAAACAATGATAGCCATAGAAGCGTTTAAATTTATTTAAAATCTATTAGTGTAGGATTTACTCGTGAGATCAATCCAACTTTGTATAAGGAAAATGTTTACCTTTGCAGTTATCCAATAAAGGGAGTGACTCTGATCGTGTGATCAATGAAAATTTGATAGAGCCGATTTTTATAATTTACTCATAAAGTATATTTAATAAACTAGGAGAAAATTTTTAAGATTTCAATTTGTTGTATTTCTCGTTTGTGATAATTTTACGGAGAGTTCAGCTATTGAAAATATCAAACTCGCTTCTTATTTTCCTCCGTTCACAAAACTTTTCCTGTCAACAATCCTTATTACACAACAATATCTCCTGAGATATGTAAGAGGAGTGAACCAAGCGAGTCAAAAATAACGCAAGTCGAAATAATTTATCGTCAGAGGTTCGGTATAACTTCTTATCGCGAGTTCTCTCGCATCATAAAATCAAGAAACCAAGAACATTTCGTCACTTGTTGATATATATATATTTCTTTAGATATATATCTTAAGATAAATATCTTTGGATATATATATTAAGAATTATTTATTTAGATGTATTTATTTAGATATATTTATTTAAAATAACTCAAAATTAATTTCTGTTCACATCAGATGATTCAATGCAACTACCATTGTAGGCAGAGTTCTTTCAGCTATTGCATTTGAACATTTAAAATTAAATCGTCTTAGTACGAGTAGAATAAAAATTATAACCAGTGTTGTCAAGTATTTTGAATATCTTAAAACTAGTAGCAGTACTTGGTACTTAAATACTATTTAAATTCTGAATTTTGACCAGGCATTCGTAAGGTAATTTTACATTTTAACAGTATTTCAGTATTTTAACAATACTGAAAATAGTACAAGGCAAAGATTCACTAAAAGATGAGGTTTGGACTGCTAGCTAGCTTTGATTGACACATTTAACTTTATTTAATCCACTCTTTTAGGCAAAGATTCACTAAAAGATGAGGTTTGGACTGCTAGCTAGCTTTGATTGACACATTTAACTTTATTTAATCCACTCTTTCGAAGAGTTTACGTAAGATAGATGTTACATGGTTGAGTTACTCTCAACGCGAGAACCAAAATAACACAACAGCATATCTAACCTAACAAAATCGAAACGTATATAATAACACACTACGGACGTCAATCAAAGTAGAGATCAATGTCTATTGGACAATAGCTGAAAAGTGGGTGGAGTTTAGAAGATGTGTTATCTGATGCCAGACATCATTACATATATGTAATACATAAGACATAGTATAATTACATACATTCGTATTTCACACACATAAATATAATATACACATACATGCATAAAATGTAATGATTCAGTCATAGATTAATCCGTTAATAACTATAAAACTCATCAACACATGCAATATATACAAAACAATTTTATACAATATTATACCTACATACTATATACAATATTTATACATACACACGCATGCATACTACAGATTAATACACACATATAGATACACTAATACAAACATTCATACATACGAGATACATTCAACGATAATAGAATCACAGCGTTAGCGTTACCAGTATTTTACGGATATGACAGTTTATGACGCCAGCCACCGATTAAATTCTATCAACATTTTAATTTTCAATTATAGTTATTAATAACGATTATATTATAAAACAAGTTGATTTTATAACAAAATTACATTAAAAAATTTTTTTTAAGTTTTTTGCAAAATGTGTCTTGAGGAAATTGAAAAAGTTTAAATAGATGTAGAAATGCTAATAGATGCAACAGCATGTGGTGTTATGTATGTGTGTATCAAGTTAGCAGAACACGCATCTAAGAATATAATTAAGATTTTAAATGAACTTAATTGATCTTAAATGAAACAGTAATTTAGGGTGAGAAAAAAAATAAATATAAAATTAATTTGAAAAACATAACATAAAAATATTGTAATAAATTTGTCAATTTTTTGGCTAATTATTATCCAGATAAACATTTCTACAAGCCATGGAATCATCGTGCTTATTCTCTAAGAGCAAATTCACAAGCTACTTAGATAACGCTAATATAAGCAACACCGATATAAACAACACCATTTATAATGACATCAACACAAACAACAACATCAACAATTACAATAACATCAACAACGACAACGTCAACGTCAACAAATTCGACCCAAACATACTTACCAGTTACAATCTTTGGCAGAACTATGCGACGACAAAACTACCATACAACTGGTGGGCGATAAGCCAACAACAACAACAACATCAGCAGCAACAACAACAAACAACTCGGTCTTACTGTGACCAACAACAACAACAACATCAGCGACAACAACAACAAATTCCAACAACAACAAAACCAACACCAACAACTTGCTTCTCAAGTTGTAAGATCCCCACATACAATCCTCCACCATCATCGTATGTGCCAATATATTTTTCATTTCATCTTGCTTTCTTTATAAAATTGTTAGCATAAAAAAACTTTTATTTATCTACTTTACCTTCTTTGTTATTTTAATGTAATAATTCTACAAAACAATATACATACGTGATGCATGTGTGTTTGTGTAAACATGTGTAATGTGCGTGCGTGTACATGTCTGTGTGCGCGTGTGTACGTGTGTACGAGGCATAACAACGGACATTAAATAAACTGAACAACATGAATAAAAAGGTTTTCCAGTTACGAAACAAGAAGAAAAAACGCAACAAGAGAGTCAACCAGCACCTTAAAAAACTGGTTGAATGAACACATCAGGAACCCCTACCCAAGCAAAGGGGAGAAGATAATGCTGGCCATTATCACAAAGATGACCCTGACACAGGTCTCTAGTGCAATTTTTGCTTTCGTGCTGGTTTTACTTGTTACAGTGTTGTTTTGTTTTATTTGACTGCGAGGTGATGTATAAAAATGTCAAATAAAACAAATACAGACTTCAGTTTTCTTTTATTATTTTATTCTTTTTATAATTTTCTCTTTCCCTCTCTCTCTCTCTCTCTCTCTCTCTTTTGTTTTGTTTTACTCAACCTCTTTTTCTTCTCTCTTACTCTCTCTTTCTCTCCTCAACTTTTGATATGGTACGATGATGTATTTCCTCAAATAAGTTGCTCTTAAACGCGTACGTACACCGATAATTTATTTGAAATTTATTCAAAAACCCTCCCGACAAGGTATCCACGTGGTTCGCGAACGCACGCAGGCGATTGAAGAAGGAGAAGAAAGTCTACTGGCTTCCCAGAAACAGAGCCAACAACAACAACAACAACAACGGCAATAACAACAACAACAACAACAACGGCAATAACAACAACAACAACAACAACAGCAATGACAACAACGACGGTGATGATGACGGCGATGATGATGACAATAACGACAAAAATGATGATAGAGCTGGGGCGAATGGTGATAGAAATGTTAACGATGACGACAACGATGAAGAGGTCTATGGTGGAAATGCTGATCGAAGCAATGAAAAAATTTACAATGATGAAGATAACTTTGCCTGCTGTCATCACTGCAGTAGCAGCAATGATGATGATGATGAAAGTGATGATGATGATAACGACGACAACAACAACAATTCAAATATCAACAATAATTCAAGCAGCAACAACATTTTAAACACTCTTACAACAACTACAAAAAATGCCAGTATCAAAGACTTTTCCCTGCAAATAAGTTACATAAATGATGGCAGCCATATTTCAAATAACATTAACCCCCATAACAATACCATTACAAGCAATAACATCAACTACAGTAACAACTTCAATGGCAACAACAATAACATTAGCACAGACGCTGATGATGCCAGAAATATCAACTCCATATCAGATGATGACATCAGTGCAAATCAACCATGTTACAACAACAAAATTGATAGCATTAATTTCAATCCCCACACATCTAACCTAACTTCTGATAAAAAAGATAGCGATGATAAATGTGATGATAGTGATGATGACGACGACGATGATGATGCCGATGACAAAAATTCAAATAATAAAAGTTAGTTTACATTTTAAATATATTTTAATAAATTGTTTTATATTTCTTTCAGTTCTATTATTAGTTTTTCTCCTTCTCTCTCTCTCTTTCTCTCTCTTTCTTTCTCTCTCTTACTCGCTCACCCTCGTTTTTTATATCAATAAATATAACTTATTTGTCTCTACGTTGTTTTAATAACAAAAAATTTTATTAATGATTACAATAATAATAACAACATCAACAACAATAAAATAATAATAATAAAACGCCGGAAACACTTAAGTCCGGATCGGCGCCATCTTGCAGGGATGGGCTGAAATTTAGTATTTTTTTATTCACTTCTTTATCTGGCGATCAGTGTGTGCGATAGATTATTTATTTCGTCATATACTATCAGAATCTGAAGCCTGCAGGTTAATCAAGCAACCAACCAATCGAGTCAATTGAAAATGTAATGAAATACTTGAACAACGTACTTGCTTTGTATGCGTTTAAGTATATTTAACAGTATATAACTATAGAATTGCATGTCAACATAGGAAATTGATCGTTTTTAATCTTTATTGTAATTGTTAATAAACTTATGTGAGATTGTATTTGTATGGAAACTTTGTAAACGTAATTATATTTGTAACTGTAAATGTATGAAAATTTTGTTAGCAGGCTTATATGTTTGTAAGTAAATTTAAGTAACGGCAAAAGTATGTAAACCGAGTTAAAGTGATCAGATAGTGTTGGTGTCTGCTAACTGTATTTTGTTCAATCGGTGATGTGTGTGATTATCGATTGTTGGTTCGAACACGTCTCCACGATGTCTGATGATCAGAGCTAACAAACAATAACGAGCCATGTTACAAATGCTTGCATACAATAAAAATATAACTCCAGACATTCAATTATTGTTTGTGGTTTGTATTGTGTGTGCCTTGTGTGTGCGTGCGTGTTTGGGTGTCTTCTGTGTATATGTGCGTGTGTGTGTGTGGTGTGTGCGTGTGTATGTTTTTGTTTTTAGGTTTTATACCAATTATTTTTAAAAAGTTGTAATGGCATGCTTATTTACTGAAAGTTGAAAAATTAAATTTGAGAGTAATCATTTAGTAAAGAAACAGGTAATTGTAAGAAACTGCACGTTTTTTTCATATAAAAAAGTGCCAATATCAATAATTTATTTCTTTTTTAAGGTTGAATTATACAAAATATAACTTTGATCGAGTGTTAAAACCGCTTAGTGAACGGAAAATATAGTGAAATCTAAATCTTTTGTATATGAAATCGAAGTTTCCAAGATGTCTTTTACAACAAAGTGTCAAGTCAAGAGTTTACCGTGTTTTTTGAAATATTAGACATAATTTTCTAGTGAAAATTGTGAAAAATGTTTACAGACAAATTGATTAATATTTAGGATAACAACTGCGTTCTTTATATTTTGTTTCATTGATTTTATTTCAAATTTTTCAGACGTTACGGTAAATGGAATGATTTATTGGCAAAATTTAATTTTGCAATTAATGCACATACAATCGATATTGATGAATGTATAAAATAACTATTTTTTTCAAGAACAACGCCCAGATGAATGTTCATCTTCCCATTCATCATCAGCATCAACGAAATATTTCTTGAAAAACAAACCTGATTACAATTTATCTTACAACTACTTCTACGCTAACAACTTCAGCGCGCCAAACAACATCAATGGCAACATCAACTACGTTGACATCAAGCTCTTAACAGCTGACATCAACAGCAGAATTTTCAGTAAACTAACGCCCTCGTCAAATGACAGTAGTTCAAAAGATAACATCAATACGTGCGACATTTCGACATCAATTTACAACAGCTCAACATTATCTTCTTGTAAATATAATGGTCTCACACGCAACAATGTTAACAATATCAAAACCCGTAACACTGTCAACGGTAACATTAATGAAGCGCACATGAATAACAGCAATAACATTAACAACAACTACTACAACAACAACAACCGTTTCATTATAGATGGAACCAAAAACATCAACAACAACATCACTAACACTGATGACATTAACAGTTATGACGTGAACAATTTATCGTACGGTGCAAATAACAACAACAACATTAACTATAGCATCAACAACACAGATTACAACAACAAAAATATTTTTTTGCAGTCTGTATCGACGACCTTTGATAATTTGAAGCCAAAAATTTGGTCCTTGGCTCAGGTAGCAGAGAATGAACAACAAGAACATTTTTTGGGAAATGAATTTGCGACAAGGGAGCTACTATCTTTGCCATATCACCAACTAAACTACCAGCAACCAAACTACTTGCAGCAACAGCCGCAGCAACATCAGCAGCAGCAGCAACAACCACAAATACTAAACAATCATTTTTATTATAATGAAAACCGGTATTCGGCAAATAACGAACACAACTCGCCAATCGAAATAGACAACAAAAACCTTAACTCAACAGCCGAAGTTGAAAATAACATCAACAATATTGACAACAACATTAGTAATAATGGCAACAAAATCAACAACATTAGAGACATCTTTCTTAACAACAACTTCATCCAGACTTTGGCAAACAACAACACTAGCATTGGCCAAGCCGACATCAACAACAACAACAACATTTCAAAAAACAACATTAACGAAGATGATGACGATGACGACGACGATGATAAAATAATTGACGAGAACGCGAATGAAGACAACGATAATGATGGTGAATATGATAATGATGACATCAACTCATCCTGGTCACCGTCATTTTCATCTTCATCATCGTCACTCTCCTCAGCCACATGCTCTGACAAAATGGACCCAAAATTTTTTTAATCTTTCTGCGCGTCTATGTATATTTACTGATACTTTATTTCCAGTTTTTCATTAAAAGCATACACCTTTCAATATATTCATTTACTTACCTGAGTGTACTCTGCTTCTCCCAACCTAAAACATCCGTTCTAAAATTAATCGCTCTTAAAGTGTTTCATTAATTTTTTTCATCAAAACAAACTACATTTTATTAAGTCACGTTTTTGATGTGTCATTTTGGATAAACATGTTGGCGGTAGAAAAAGAAGAAACTCATATAGAATACGTAGAACAGATTATATAATGAAATACAAATTTATATAGAAATGATATAAATCAAATACGATAAGGCAAACATACACACACACGCACAATAATGCTGACAAGTTTCAGTTGAATTTATTAAAATTGTTAAGTTAAGAAACACACACATCACATAAATATCACAGTTATGAGTGTACGTGTGCGTGCGTGTGCGTGTGTGTGCGTGTGCGTGTGTGTGCAAGTATATTTCAAACGGAAATGTCGGTGACACACCTTCATGTAAGGAGTAAAAGTGCACCCCAGGCGTTCCATGTTTGTCCAGGCAGGTACCATTCATGAGTGTGTGTGTGCGTGTGTTTGCGTGTGTGTGTGTGTGTGTGTGTGTGTGTGTGCGTGTGAGCGTTTGTGTGTGTCCCTATGTGTGTATATATATGTGTGTGTGTCTGGTTGTGTGTGTCGCGCGCGCGTGTGTCTGGTTGTGTACATGTGAGTGTGTTTATGTGTTTGTATGAGTGTGTGAATATGAGTTTTGCAGGTACATTTTTACGAGTGTTCTTAATATATGTGTACATGTTTGTATGCGTGGACGAAGTTGTGTATTTTTGAACGTTTGATGGATTATTAATAGATGGACTAACTACCTATTCATGTGCCTATGTTTATACACTTGCTTCTCTCCAATGTGCAAACCAATAATGAAATATGTAGATGATTGATTGTAGGATGCATTTGAAAAGAAAATAAAAATAGGATAAAATGCCATTAAGTTTGTAAATTTAAAAGTTGAAAAGAAGATGACGACGATGATGATAATGATAACGAAGATGACGATGATGAAGACGATGGTGATGAGGATGACATGATGACGATAATAAGAATGTTAATGAGTGAATCTTAGCGTTTATTTACTTGTGAAATCATTAAAATAATTGCGAGGTAATGGTGCATATAAATCAAATTTGTCTTTAAAACAAATGGAAAAAAGTTATAAAAAAAACAGAATTTGTAATTTTTCATAATAATTTATTACATTTAATACATAGGAAAAATGTAAGTTATTGTTGTCAATTTAGAGTTTCAAGAATATAAGTAAAATGCATAGTCACAAATTCACAAAAATTTGCGTATCTCGATAATATATATCTCGTAAAAAAAGACAAACCATGTACTGTAGAAGTAGTCGA